CGCTCCCACGCCCAAACCTAGACATATGGATGTATGCATTTGTTACTAAATATTATTCTCAATTATAATAAAAAATAATGACTTTTAAAGTAGAAGAAAATTAAACTTACCCTGGATCACTTGCACACAGCTCTTGATCCATTGCGCTCCAGCCTCGTAGGCAGTGCACAGCGCTCTATATACAGCTGCTAGGAGCGCTGAACCCCAGCTGTAGCCCTTAATCCCGTCTATGTCCTCCAGCAGTTGCAGCCAATAAAGATTCACGCCATTTCCCCGCTGGTCGGGGAAGAAAAAGGAGCCGAGGCACCACAGGATAAGGGCCCTCGCCCTCTGCTCGTAGCGTATGGCCGGAAGTCCATCTCGCAGACCATTGATGCATTCCTTTTCTAATCCCGAAATCTTCATAAACTGGCCTTTAATGGCCCAACCAGCGGGCTTGTAAGCCGCTTCCTCTTCCGGAGTGCTGGGTGGATCCTGACAGTTGTTTTTATATATATTAAAACCGATATAATTGAGTGGACATGTTTGCACGGGATATATTAAAAAAAATGACATCAATGCAATAAAAAAATACCATTAATGAGTCCATCATTTTTCTTAATAGATGCATACTTAAACAAAACAACTCTCTTCCTATATATGTAATTCAGTATAAGACAAATGATATTACAATCAACACCAGCTACTTGCACATATAAGAACTAAATTCATGCAATAAAATCTGGTTAGATACACGGTCTCTATTTATGTCTGTAGAATCTGATAAAGATTGTCAAACCACATTTGTGTAATTCTATTAACACCGATGACCATCCACTGAATCTTAAGTATCAAAATAATATAAATCTTCTCAGTTTAAAATCGAAACTTAGATTAATATCCCAAGCAACACACACTCACACAGCATACACACTTTATTTAATACTGTATGAAAAAAAAATATTTATATACACTCACACAGCACACACACTCACACAGCATACACACTCACACAACACACACACTCACACAGCACACACAGCACACACACTCACACAGCACACACAACATACACACTCACACAGCACACACACTCACACAGCATACACACTCACACAGCACACACACTCACACAGCACACACAGCACACACACTCACACAGCACACACAGCATACACACTCACACAGCACACACACTCACACAGCATATACACTCACCCAGCAATTTATTGACCATATGAAAAAAAAAATATTTACCTGGACATCGGGCCGAAACCCTAACAAGTTCTTGCACCTATCACGCCATTGTACCGGTGTTAGGTCTACCGTCACTCCTAAACAAGCAGCTCCATCGGCCGGTAGACCGAAAAGGACTTGTACATCCTGCAGAGTTATGGTCGCCTCCCCAAAATCGAAATGAAAGGTGTGCGTTTCCGGACGCCACCTTTCGAGCAGACCGGTAATGACGGCATTGTCGGTTTGGACTCGGCCCATTCGAAACAAGGGCCCGAAACCGGTCCGATCGATCACCGCCCAAACCGACGGATGCTGCTTTGGCAAAGCCTTCCAGAACTGTAAGTCGTAGCGACGGTTTGAAACCGTGTCGCTACGAGCTCCCTGTTGATTATTATAAACCGCCCATGCCCGATGCTTGTAATAAAGATATAAAAATTTGGGATCCCTCGGTCCAGGGTGTACACCGTATCTCTGAGGCTGGGACGACGATGATGAAGCCATTATCTACAATTACAAAAAAAATATATGCACAATGAATTCCAATAAGAAATGAAATTAATGGATAAATTGTTACGGTGTAAAAAATAGACAATCAAATATAGCTTTCTGTAAATATGGACAATGCAGTAACAGTGAACTCATTCACAATTTTTATGAGTAATAAGTTGTACCCAAATGCATCTGTACCCAACTTCAGTTAACTCATCTCTGTTTCAACACAATTTCTGTTTCAACACAATTTTTGGACTAATTACTACCCAAATGCTTCTGCAACTGCTCATTCACTACAAATGACAGTGAATACAATAGCTTTTGAATGAGACAGAGTAAAAATTTCGGACTTGTAACAGTGACAGTGAATACAAATGCTCATTCACTACTCATTCAGAGCAGTCTCAATTTTTTTGAGTAATTACAATGTAAAGTGATACAAATGCTTATATATAAAGTGATATATGATGACAAACCGAATCAAAACCTAATCTCAAATTCAAAAGCCTAACCCTATTTCAAACCGATTTCGAATTCAAAACCTA